CTTTGGATAAATTACTTAACCTCTTAATGCTCTAGATAACTCTCTCTAAGACTCAAAGTTTCAGGAAAGATTCTGGCCTGCATTTGTTGGGGGAGTTTCCTTACTGAGAGTCCCTTGTACTAACGAATCAATCAATCAACATGAAATTTATTAAGTGCCTATTCTGTGCCAAGGGGATACAAGTAATCACAAGACCAGCCCCTATCCCTATCACTGGGTAGAATAGGAGAGAAAGGAATAAAACAGGTGTCTAGAGTGGACAGCACTAGCAAGTTCCCGTGGGAAGTGCGGGCCCTTTCCTTTCTGACCTGTTACCATCCGATTCTTTTCCTTCCCCAGATGCCTCCCCTGTGAGCTGCTTGGTTGTGTAACTTAGCGAGTCAGTTTGCCCTGACAATGTCTGATGAGCACTTATCATTGGGTTAAGGTCACAGTGTGTTACACGTGGCTGTCTTGCCAGCCTCAGTCTGGCTGTGACCCAAATGGGCACAGAGGATTAGATGGGATAGTCCCATTGCTGGCCCTGAATGATTTGGGGAGGTGGGTGGGATGGAGTGGGATCAGAGCACAGAGAAACACTTGTTTTCTCTGTTTGAATTGACCTGCTTCAAATTCTTAGGAAAGAAGAGGGTTTGGGGTGAAGATGTCATGGTTGGCACACCATCTTTAAAGGAAAAGGACAAAATGGAGACTGGCATAAGCTTGACCACTTTCCCTCTTCTCCTTCCTACCCTTTGACTTTCTCATATGAAACGTGAGCTATTCGACTGGAGTGTTTTGTGTTTCTTTAGTACTGTCTGGTGCGGGTTGGGGGGGGAAATTTTAGGGAGCAGTGGATAAATGAAGGAATGCCAGTAATAAAACCTGCTTGTATTTCTCATCTCACCTCTTTCCCTTGATGCCCTAAGCCCCTTTGTCTTCTTGAACCACAGGGAACAAATATGTTGGGAAATCTAGACTTGATCCCTCCATCAGACAATAATTCCTTACTTTGTCTTCAAATTTCATTTCTCCATCTGAAAGACCCTCTGGAGACACCCAGCTGAGCTCTTCTGGAGCCCGTGGTTATGTCTCCAAGGGGGAAGCAGGGGACCTTTCTTCCAACCAGAACACTGCAGCAGAACTCGTCCTGCCTGCAGGGGAGTGGAGTTCAGGTGGCAGCACAAACAAATGGAAAATATTCCAACTAGCACGTACCAGAGCCTTTCCCAAAAAAGCACAACCTTGTTTGGAGAGATCACAGCTGATAATTTTCTGAAAATTAGCTTGCCTGAGTGGTGACCTGCTTCAGCCCAGGCCCGTGGCCTTGAGAACCTCCTAGGTGGAGAAATGTCATTTGTCCCTCTCCTTTAAGTTACTGGAGAGAAGGCAGAGGGGTTCCTGACTCAGGGCTGATGAAGCTGTTGCCTTCACCCCCTCTGCCCAAAACAGCTCTCACACTAAGGTGCAGTGCACTAGTAGGAAGGAAGCATCAAATTCCTTAGCCTGGAGAGTTTCTAGCAAGTCGGGGGGCCGCTGCTAGGCTTAAGGCCCAGTCAGGGAAGGAAGAAGGCAAGAAGCAGAGAAAAGGTAGGTACCTGGCTCCCAGTCTCCTTCCCACCCCCAACCCCAGTACTTTCTCATCCTTCTTATGCCATAGCATTCTTGTCCCTATCTTTCCATAAATCTGCCATAAAGGACCCACCAGACATTTGGGAGGCATCCATTATTCTCAGCTTCAAGGCCAGTTTTCCATCTGCTAGGCCATGGCGCCATGTTGGCTCTCTTTTGCTACCTCAATCAATCATTCAACAAATAATTGGTATCTCAAGGGTGCCGGGTAGTTGCTTATCTATCGTCCCTCGTTACATAATGGGTTTGTCTCCTCTTTCAACTGTTTTCACAGACACTTTTCAGGCAAGTCATCATTTCTGCAGCCTCTTTTCAACCACCATGTGTCTTTCCATTGTCTTCTGGGTTACTTGTAATTCTGATCCTTCCAAGATTATGATAATCTTAGGATATAGATAAGGAATGAAGAGGGATCTTGGTTATAGAGTATTGGGGTGTCTTGAGTACCAGTTCTTTCCTTGGAGGAGACTTCAAGGAAAGCAATGGGCTCCTTCACTTGAGCTCTTGCTCCTGTCAGCCTCTGGTTGCCTCCCACGTTTCCCTCCATTCGATGTGTGGCTCTTACTGGTGGTGCTACCACAGTCGATCCGTCCAGCTTGAAATCCCGGCTCCTGTCTGCAAGCACTTTTTGTGTGATTCTGGAGAAAGTACAAGTAGAGAAGAGCTTTGACCTTAGGAGTCCGGTTCCTGTTTAAGAAACCACAGAGGAGGTGTTTTGCAGAAGTATAGTCCCTGACCCTCTAGTCCCCTGGAGTCTTCCCCCTTCCAGAAGATGTCTCTTGAAAGGGAGCCGTGTCTCCTTCCCAGTAAGGTGCTTTGTCATTTATATCAGAAGTCCCAGATCATCCATTTAAAAATAGGGAGATACCGGATGAGGACAGCTAGGTGGTACAGTGGATAAAGCGCCAGGCCTGGAGTCTGGAAGACTCATCTTCCTGAGTTCAAATCCTGCCTCAGACACTTACCAGCTGTGTGACCCTGGGCAAGTCACTTAACCCTGTTTGCCTCATCTGTAAAATGAGCTGGAGAAGGAAATAGCAAACCACTCCAGTATCTTTGCTAAGAAAACCCCAAATGGGGTCATGAAGAGTAGGACAAGACTGAAAGGACTGAACAGCAAGATAATCAGATGAGTCAAAAATGGCATCAAAACAACTCAGTGCAAAAACATCCTGTCTAGCACACTTCACTGTGGTATCCTTGATTGCAGAAATGGAGCGTGCGTGTGTGTGTGTGTGTGTGTGTGTGTGTGTGTGTATAGGAAAGAATTGTGATAAGAAAGAGAAGAGATGTCTCAGCAGTCTTCTGCACATCTTAGAAGATACAACAGGGACCAGATGTCAAGAACAGGAATTTGTCTTTTTTTAAAGTAGGGTTCAAGCCCCCCCCCCTTTTCCTTTCATTTGAGTTGTGACACCAGTTGGTATAATGATATAGCCTGACTTGGGTGAAATACAACTTAGAATGAATAGACACACAACTCTGAGTGTGAGTATATTAGACAGACTGAATGGGTAAGAAAGGGAAGAAATGTCTTATCAGTCTTCAGCATGTCTTAGAAGATACGACAGGGATGCAAATGTCAGGTACAAGGTTTTTTCTTTTCTTAAAGAAGGATTCAGTTTTTTGGGGGAGTCCCCTTTCTTTTCATTTGAGTTGTGATACCAGTTGGTACAATGGTATAGCTTCACTTAAACACAGCTTAGACTGGGTGTTCAGCATCCTAAAAAAGAACCCTGAGAAAGAATGGTCAGCCCAAGAAGGATGGGTAGGGAGATGGGGTGGGCAGGAAGGACGGAAAACGAGGCTGCATGAGATAGAGAGAGGAAGAGAGAATCTGGGAGGGGAGGCAGACCCAGGAGAAGGAAGAGGGTAGGCCTCTAACTTGAAATAGGCTGCCTGTGTGGGCAGCTCCCACCTACGCAGAGTGGCCAGAGGAAGGCAACTTCCCTGTAATGTCACTGACATTGTTAATTTCTGTTTTGTCACATGCTCCTTTGGGTAATTTTGGAAGCAGGCTGGGGGAGTTAAGAGAGAGAGACAGAGACAGAGAGAGAGAGACAGAGAGAGTGTCCAGCAAGCAGAATGTAGGAGCAGGCAGAAAAGGTCATGCTTATCCCCTATAGAGGTGACTTCCACTCATGGTCTGTATCCCAGGGCAGTTAATAGGGAAAGGACACCTCCTTGGATGGCAGCTCTGGGACCTTACTCTAGTGACCCTGGACTTTATTGGGACAAATGAGAACCAAAGCCAGGTTATTTTTGCCCCAAGAATATCGCCAAACCAACCTGGATTGTTTAGGGGAATGGGAAGGAGACTGAGCCCATTTATGAGCTACTTAATTGAATAATTGAGATTTTTGCCCTTTCTATACGCTTCACAAACTAGCTCTAGCTCATCCCTCCAGCCCTATTATATTGTACTCCCCTTCGTGCGCATTATGGTCCTTCCAGACTAACCCCGCATCTCCTTATTGTTCTAAATCTGTGGCATTCTGGATCCTTCCATCCTGGAGATGCATTCTAAGATCACAGACTGGAATACCTTCCCTCCTCCCCTTCTCTAAGCTCAAGTGACCTCGTCTGCATGAAACCTTTCCTGACCTCTCAGCTGCTCATACCCTCTCCTCAAATTATATAGTATCTGTATTGTATATACCTATACCTATATATATATATATGTATGTCTATCTATCTGTCTGTCTGTCTATTTATTTATCTATCTGTTTTCTCTTCTGCTAGATCATAAGATCCTTGGGGGCAGGGACTGCTTCCCTTTTTTATCTCTCTTATTTGCAGAACCTAGTAGAGGTGCTTTGCACATAGCTGATACTTAATAAATACTTGTTGATTGATTGTTATGGGGGTACAAATTCCAAAGCTGTCCCACTCTCTTTTTCTGGCCCTACAATAAAGTCTAAACCACCACCTGCTGGATGGAAGGTAAGGGGGATGTGGGCTGACCTATGACAAAATTAGAATTAATCACTGTAGGGACTTGGGTAGCAACTGAGGTACTCATAGGATGGTTCCTTGATATGGAATCAGAAAGAACATATGTTCTGCCTCCTCTTCCTTAGCTGAGGGCTCTAATCAGGCAGCAGCCTTCCCCTCCCCAGCAGCCTGGGGCCTCCTGCTTCTTATTGTGCTGAGTAGGCTTGGTTTTAGACCACACCCTCTTTCTTTCTCTTTTCAGTTGGCTACCATTATGTTGGATTTCATTCAGACATTTGTTAGATACCTGCTGGATGTAAAGTAATGTGCTCGGCTCTGGGATATAAAGAAGAAAAAGGCTGTAGCTGTTACATTCTCTCCAAAGAAACCTTTAAGTACAGGATTCTAGCCCTGGGGTATCCTTCTCTCCTCAGTGGTGCGTAGGGTGAAGCTTCCCAAATTGGATGCTGTTTCCTTTTCTCCACCCTCCCTCCCTCCCTCCTCTCCTCCCAGATTCTAAGGTCAAAGCTCTTCTCTACTTGTACTTTCTCCAGACTCATACAAAAAAGAGTGGAAAGAGTGCTGGCTTTGAGGTCAGAGGAATTGGATTTGAATCCTGGATCTTCCACTAAGCTCAGTAGTACTTGGGGTATATCATTCCTCCTCTGGACCTCAGTTTCATTGTCTGTTAAATGGAGGGATTAGACTAGATTAAAAGTTCTTAACCTGAGGTCCATGGACTGTGAATAGATTTCGTGATGTCAGATGAAAAGAAAATTATATTTTTATTTCAGTGTAATTGGTTTCCTTTTTAATCCTGTGTATTTTATTTTATGCATTTAAAAACACTTCTGAGAAGGGGTCAGTGGGTTTTATCAGACTGCCAAAGGGGATCCATGACACATAAAAGATTAAGGACTCCTGGACTAGGTGGTATCTAATGTATCTAAATCTATGATCCTCTGGCCTGTGATTCTGTGACCTGTTCAGAAAATGGCTTTTACAGAGACATATCTGTAACCTAGGCTCTGGAGTCCT